TATATATATATATATATATATGCTCTGTTTTTCTGTGTAAGAAGTTGAGAAGTTCTTTGTAACTCAAGATTGCAGGGTTTGTGATTGTTTGATTTGTTGAGTGAGTAGAGTATATACACAATATCTGTTTCTCGATACATTTCATCTTTAGATTTCTGAATTTGGATGTCTGATTCGATACAATGGAATAAGGCGTTACCAGATACTGGGTAATGAACCATTTTTCTCAACAAATTGGAAGGAATGATACACATTTCTATTTCTATTCCCTGGTATTCCCAATCTTGAAACTAATCAAGCTTTTATGACTATGTTTGATTAGAGAGAACGATCCAAGCGGAACTAATGGAGCTTGACTCTCGAAAATTATAGCTGGAAAATTTGGACTTCTGAGAAGAGACCGAGTTTCTACCAATGGAAAGATCAAAGAAGGAAAAGCTTGAACAAGCCTTCGATTCGATTCGAGTCGATCAAGAACATATCCCATCCAACTTATACAAGTAAGTCATGATCGTTCTAAATCAACCTCTCTACGTGTTATTTAAACTCATTTTACATATAATCTTTTACATTTTCAAGGTTAATTATTTATGATTACTTTTACACACTAAGTTTTCCATATATATTTATTTATTTAAGTTTTAAAGAAGTTCTAAATTACTTGACGCAGGGTGAAGTTTTACAAGATTATTGAAAACCAATTATTAAAATAAGGTAGTGTTTTAGAAGGCGTTTTGGAATTTTCACTTTCTCCAACATAGAAAAAGGTAATTTACCCTTTTGTTGTCCTGTTGTAGGTGGCTTTAAGAGACGGGTTTCATGTTAGCAATGGAATCAATTGGAAACAGGTTTCAAAAAACGGGTTCCAATCACGTTTTTGTAGGTTGAGGATGTTGTTCATCATAAGGGAGGGAAAGTTTGGTTAGAGCATATGGATTGTTTATTATAATTGCAGACGTTATTGGAGCAACAATCACATAGCTTTGTCCTTTCACTTTGATATGTTAATCTTTTAACACTTGTGAGTTTTAGCAAGTGTAGAACTTTTTTATTACATAACTTCAAGCTCATATATTTGTTTCTTAATTGTAGATTGTGCATGACGAAGATTGATATCTCTCGTTTGAAGGACACAATAAGATTTTTTGTATTTGTGAAATTCTTGTTCAGTATTTAGTTTTGTCATGATACAACTTTGTGGTGGATACATAGCTTGGTAGTTGGTACTCATATAAGTACTTGTACAACTTCGAATTTTGTTCTATCAAATCAATTCGTAAAACGTTCATATATGCTTTTAAATGTAATATTACAGAAATATTTTATAATTGGATGATGCGTCTCGTATTATAGTCATTTAGGACGCTTTTAGTGTTAATTATTATAGCCTATTAGGACATTTTTTAGTATTACTTAGTTCATTTTATAGGACTCTAAAATTTGTTTCATAATTATATAACTTATTAAGACACACATTTTGGTACTATATAATTGTTTTAGCGACATTGAATTTAGTCCTATAAAAACATTTTTTGGGACGCGCATATTTATTTTTAAATGTAAACATTTTGTGACAACATAAAGTGTCATATATTATAGTCTATTAGGACATTTTTTTAGTGTTACTTAACCCATTTTATAGAACTATGGAATTTATATCATAATCCTAGAGTTTTTTAGGACACTCAAATTCATCTCATTAACCTAATACAACACCTTTAGCTGAGACACACACATTTTTTGTCCTATAAACTTAAAAGTCCTATTAACTACCTTATTATAGGACACTAATGAGGGTCCTATATATAAACCCCTTTTTGTTGTAGTGTACTAGGTATATGTATATGTATATGGTATATGTTATATGTATATGTATATGTATATGTATATGTATATGTATAT